TTTTGAATTTTTTAAATGAGATTGATGATCATGAAAGGAATCATATCATAAAGATGTTTGGACAGTGAGTAATAATTTTATTATTTTTCTTGTCCTACTTTTAATTATGTCCGCCCCTCTGAGAAGTAATTTTGTCAAGAATTGAGCTTCGCCTCCTTTCTTATCAGTTAAAAATATTTTGAATGAATTTTTAGCGGAGAAAAAAAATGGAAACTATTTTATTGCTTTAGAACTTGGAGGAAAGGATTTAAAAAATTATTATTACGAAAGAGATCCACAGGATGGCAAAAGAGTGGCAAGATCAAATGAGGCAGTTCTTACTAAAATTGTAAAAGGAGCAGCCCGAGCTCTTGCACAATTTCATAAATGTGATTATAGCTTTGTTTTAATTTTATGAATTACTTAATCTAGATGGAGCTCATCGCGATATCAAGCATCAAAATTTTGTAGTTTCTCGTGAGCAAGATTCAAATGCTGATGTTGTTGATGTTAAATTGATAGATTTTAACAATTCTAATCTTTATGAGGTAGATGGGAGTTTTTACAATATTATATATTTTTTTTATTTTAGCAAAATAATCTAGATTCAGTTGAGAATTCTAAAAGAAATGACATTACGAATTTCGGTGCCATGATCTACAGGCTATTCAATGAACACTATATTATAAATGGAAGACTAATTGCCACATATAATGGTAGATTTCATAAACCAGTTTTTGATTTATCCTTCCTTGATGAAATTTAAAAAAATTTTCTATTAAACTGATGAAAACTGGCTTCTTTTATGTTAGAACCTCACATAATTTTGCTTTTATTCGAAGTATAGGCTAAGTCAATTTTTTAACTGATCCAAACCGAAACAATTTCCAAATAATTTCCTAACTCGACCAGTCCCTGGCTTGTATGCAAGGCTACTTTTTTCGGTCTTGACATTTTGGTTGATTTTTTACACAATGAGGTGTGCTTGATAAATGCGAACTTATAAAAAATCATAAAGTTCTGATATTTAATTTAAATTAAAGTAAATTTATTCAAAATTAATTTGCATAGACATACCGAAGTTAAGTGAATATTCAAACTACAATCATAACTCAAAATTGGATCGTGTTATAAAAGTATGTAATAAAGGATTATAAATCATTCATAGCATTTTATTTTCTTGTAAAAAAATAAATAAAAAATTTTAGAAATTTTTTGAAATTAGATGTTTTTAGGCTTGCTTCCAAGATAGATCCATTCAACCAAATATGCATGAAATTGTAGATTTTCTGAATGAGAAGATTATTGAGTTCGAATATGAAACAAATCTTGGTTATCAGATTGAACACGCGCAACAGCATTATGGAACCCAACGAGATGAGCATGGGCATTCTGTGCACCGTGATATCAAAACTCCTCATCGCGATGAAAGCCCTCCACCTAGACCTAGAAAATTTTTTTGTTTTGACTGTTAAATTAAATGCGATCTGGTAGAAATTATAAGATTTTTTCATTTGCATCCCATTGATTTAAAGCGGGGCTGTGCGTCATGGCGTTTTGCGTTTGGCGTGATTTTCCGATTCTGGCGCGCCAAACGCCAAAAATATACACCCCTAATGATGGAAATTTTTTAAAATAATTGGTAGAAGGGACGATCGAGAAAGGAAATTTTTCTGCTTACAGTCTTCCAAAATTCTCCAAATTTTCGCCTGCCGCGCATAAAAATGAAGAAATCTACTGCTTGGACTTCAAAAATTCTAAAAATTTTCGCCTGCGGCGCTTAAAGGACGAAGCTCTTATCTAAAACTAATACTTCCATCATGGTAGAAAAAAACTTTAGCACCGTCAACCATTTACTCTCTTCAAGACCTATGTTATTCTTATTACCCACTTCATGCCTTCATATCCACCTTAATCTCAAGGGGTTCTAACTAAATTTTTTCCTTTTCCTCATTTAGGGGGATAGGAATTCTCCCACATTGGCTGGGCCTGCTTCCTGGTCTTACTTAATTAAAAAAATTTTCAAAAACTCTTCAAAATTTTCGCATCCGGCGGTAAAAAAAGATGAATTCTAGCTTCTGGGAATCTTGAAAATGAAAAAAATTCGCCTGCGGCGCTAAAATGAGATGAAAAGAGGTTTTTGAGTCTTTGTAGCTCTAAAAATTTTGGCGTTTGGCGTTTTGGCGTTAATTTTGGCCGATATTTGGCGTTTTGCGTTTGGCGTGTTTTTAAAATTAGAAAAATTGGCGTTTGGCGCGCCACGCGAAAATTTTGGCGCACAGCCCTGATTTAAAGGAACCATTAATTTTGTAGAGGAATGAAAAATTAATATTGCATCTAGAGCGCGCCGATCCTTGTCCATATGATTTATAAAGAATATCACCTATCTGTAACCCACCCGAAAATTGTTAAACTCCGTTACCCAACACTCACAATTCTTTACAAAGTACCCTCCTTTAAGTTCTATAATATTTCCTCTTATTTTTCATTTTTAAAATATTTTAAAAGAAATTTTTGGCATCTCACATGAAATTTTTGTAAATTAAAAGCCACTGTGCGGTATTATATTTACGAATTATCGAATTAAATTAGCGAATTTCCTGATTTATTAATCAAAATCCATATTTCTATTGAACGGGTTTTCTCAAATCTTTTTTTAACAAGTTCCTGGGACTAAATTTTTTTAACAATCTTTTTTTATTTTTAAATTTGTAGAATATTATTTACTCTTTTTTCTAATTTATTTAAATTTTTAAATGATTTTTTGATTATTAGATACCGATTCTGTATAGATTTCGTTAAAAATATTTTTTATATTATTTTAAATGTAGTTGAACCCAGCCAAAGGAAAATTAACAATGGTCCAGAGAATTTAGTGTAAAACTCTAATGAGTAATCTCAACTTAGCCTAATCGGATACAAGTTTAAGATGCTCTTAAAAATTCCTGTAAGCTCTAGTTTTGAAAATTTAAATTCTTTGTCATAAATTGGTTCAACTGTATTTGATATTTATTGATGTAAACTACTGCTACACAACTAAATTAAATATCATTTAATGATTTGTTTTATAAAATTTACAAAACGTTAATGAAACTAATCAAAAATTAAAACAAATTATTAAAATTGTGTAGCAATCGGTTATTATTTGAACAATCTAAAATATTATTTTATATTATTTTAAATTTGGTAACTACATATGTAAAAATTTAACAGATAACTTGCATAAACTCATTCTGGGAAGTATTTTAATATTTCATGTTTACCCATTAGAAGCTAGGTTGGACGGTTGACTAACTGAAAACGACTTGCATTATATCAAAGATTTTATAATAAAATGTGTCATTAAACAAAATCTTCACAAAAAATAACTGTTTGGATTCGCATGAGTCCAAAGATTTAGAATAAGGCTCATAATGAAATAAAAAATCTAAATAAATATCTGCCAAACGGCACAATACTACAAACAATAAATATTACAATAATAACAATCAAAATCTTAGTTATTTTTACATGAATCTTATTTAATTTCTACATCCTCGTATCTTTTGTCTTCAATTCAATGTTTTTATTTTCTCAAGGGAAGGAGAATTTATGTGAAGGGGATTTTTTGGAGTTAGATTTTTTGTAGAGAGGAAACTGGCATGAAAATGCAGGAATATAACTTCTTTATATTAGACCCGCAGGCGATTTTTGCGGATATGCAGGGTTATAAAACAAAAGTAAAAATTTTTTCGAAAATCTAATTTTTCTAGAAATCTTTTTTCAGCTTTCAGCTTCGATTCTTGTGCGTCACTCCAGTACGGTTTTGGTGAGAACGAAACAAAATTTATTAAAAAGCTATAAAATAAGTGCATATGCGTGACAAAAATTCTTTTAAGTTTCTCACAGCTAAATTTGTAGTCCATTATAAAATTTTAACTTAAATTGAATAACAATTTCCAGTAAGTTTTTTTACGTTATTTGTTTTGATTTTTCTAAATTTTTTTTATTTTTTTGTTTAATTAAAATTATTGTTTAATATGTATGTACCTATGTATTTTATTTAAATTTTCGCCATTCTAAATTGTCAAGGGAGTAGGCTATCAAATACAATTTATTATAAATAAAGAAATCTGGCTTCTTGTTCTTTGAAAATTCTTAAAATTTCACCTGCGGCGCTAAAAGCCAAGAAAGCTTCTAAAAAGAGGAGATCTGCAATAAATACAAAAAAGCTCCGAAAATCATCGGTCTCTGATTCGGAGCTATATCTAGAGCGTGTGTCTACTTACAAAAAATTGTCTACATATTAAAGCCTGTACATATTATACACAACTTTGTTTATTTACTCACAATTACTACAAAAATAAATAAAATATTTTTTTAACGCGTAACAAATATTGTCCATTATGTTACACATATGCCTCTAAAAAATACGCACTTTAAGCTTAAATTTTTTTACATTCTTTTAATGTATTTTGTTATTTTCGATACATTTTTTACTATAATATTATTTTAATTTATTTACATGAAATAAAATTACCCAGAATTTTACATGATTATTACTTACCTTTTAAATCAACACTGATTCCGACAACGTCAAATTTTTAGATCTATTTACTCTAATTATTACCAAATTTTAAACTCTTAAACAATTTTAGTCTTTTTCACTTTTATAGGATACTAAAAATGTTAAATAATTTACAGCTTTTTAAGTAAATTTTAATGTTGAGTGATTCTAGGAAGGATTAAGCAAATAAACCCTTTATTTGGAGGCAATATTCTGGCATAGAATTACTTATATATTATACTTTGGCATAGAATTCTCTCATAGGGTGAACATTAAGATTATTTTTTAAATACGAAGTAAAGAACTTTTTAATATTCTACATATTTTTTATCGTAAAGTCCACTGCCCAAATTTCCGCTTACTTCCCAGTTGACCACTTCTCAATTGTCCACTACCAAAATCTCAGGGAGCCAAATATGGCTATTCATTTATTTATTTTAAATTAAATTTAGAAATATACAGTATTAATTTTAAAATGGAATATATTTTATGGAATCATAAGGAATTTGACATAATATATAATTGTACAGAAATTAATGTTGATGATATTCCAATTGAACAAAGAAGTTATCCAATAGCTGCAATTATCTGTATAATACTTGGCTGTATATATTATGTAATTTTTAAGATTAATTTTTAAATAAATTTTTAATAATTTAAGCCTTTATATTTCCCTTGTCTTTACTCTTTTTGGAAGAATAGAGCCAAAAATCCGTGTTATATACTTTTAATTTATCTTTCAATTTTGGATATTTCCTTTCTTTGGATTCCAACTTTTGTTTTTGGAATTTTAAGTTTAAATGGTGTAGTTTATTGCTCTTCACCTTTCGCAGAATATTTTTTGGATGTGTTATTTTATTTAAGTTTTATTTTATTTAAATAAGTCCATATCTCGAACTAACTAAGTCCATATCTCAAACTAACGTGGTCGAAAGAGACGATCTCAAAAAACGCGTTTTTCCTATCAATTCCATCAAATACCATGTTTAAATGCAATCCATCTCTGATTTGGAGACCAGATCTCCCCTATAAATTCTCTGATATCCCGTCTAATTAACCAAATCCCAAAATATTTTTTTAATCCCTTCAAATTTGACTTTTGAGTAGCAAAAGGAACATTTACGCACTCAAATTAGTCTCAAGAAGGCACCATAATTTGCCGCTTTACAATTTTATATATTAAGTATTGAAAATAAAATCTATTTCAAAAATTTATTTTCTTGCTTTTATTTTAATTTTATAAGTCTTTGCATTTTTTGGCTTATTTTTACTTGCCTATAAATTAACATCCTAATAATAAAGCTAAAAATCATTATTAAATTACATTAAATGATTTTTCAGTTTTTTGGCCTTGCGAATGTTTTGCTGACTTGGTCTGTTAATTAAAAATTAATTAATAATAATAGATTTTAAGATTTTGGGAATAAATCGATGTATCGAAATGGCATTTCCAAAAATTGCAAGAAAACTTTTTCATAATAATCGTGTTTATATTTGGATAACATTTTGTAATTTATATGGACTTTATTGGCTTTTATTTCGTCATTCTGTTATTTTTAATGGAATATTATTTGGAGTATCATTCGAACCATTAATTGGATATATACCTTTTAGATCTGAATTAGTTAGTTTGAATGTTATAATAAATCTATTTTGTGGGGGTGTATTATGGTTGATTAAGTTCACCATTTCTAAAACCTGAACCGAGTTATAGGGATGATAATCATAGGGATGATCTTGGGGCGGCTCAGTTGTAGGGCGACTCAGCTTGTCAAATACGACTCAGTTCATCGAGCTGAGTTGGAAATTTATAAAATAGAATTTTTCATCCCAAAAATCAGCTTTTCTAAGCTATTTTGCTGGGTTTCGAAATTAGCAACTAGAAAAAAAACGTTTTAGGATATTTCGGTGTACTCTTCCGTTTAAGCTATCTGATAAAACTCCGAGACATATTTATCCTTAATATAGCAGTTTTTGTGTAAATATTAATTAGTTTCTTTACATTATTTTAGATCACATGGGATATACTTGAAATTTCAATACATGATTCAATATTAGCTATAGGTTCACCATTAACATACACTTTATTTGGCTTTTGTTTGTATTTCAAAATTAAAGAAATGACAACGAGAGTTACAAAAGATGAGATTATGGTAAAATTATAATTGTTAACTTGAAATCAAAGAAAATTAAAAATTCAAAGATATTTTCTATTTAAATATTTTCAAATTCCATTATCTTTGCCTTAATTGTAGTAAACCAAATGAAAATATAAAGATTAAGATTTCGGGAATTAGGATGGCAAAGTCCATGTTGTTTCCTTGATACGTTTATCACGATATTGTGAAATACTGAAAAGATAGCAAGCAAGCTGCCACTATCCTCATTCATTAAGCGAAACATTTATAATAGAAATAAACTTTTTAAGGTTTTTATTCAAGTATTTATTATTTCAATGTTAAATACATTAGCTGGTATTATCTATGCTTACAACTTCCATCAGGCCGATCAGGCAATACTCCTTTCAATGATTGGACATTTTGCTTGGTAAATTTATTATAAGTAATATTACAAGATTAATTTATATTTTTAAGGTTACATATACATGGTAGGTATTTTATTATCATTATGTTCACGCTATTGAAAAAAAAGTTGGATCGGATATGGAAATAAACTATCATGAATAAGCTAAGACTTAAGCACAACCGACTGTTCACATCCACTCATTTTATTGGTTATTGCCTTATGATCTTTCTCAGATCCGGACACAAAAATTGTTATACACACAGTAGCATTGAGAAGGTTACGAAACTAGACCCGACTTTAAAAAATGGATACCAACATTTATTCTTTTTAAAATAAATTATACATATATTTGTTAATTACAGGCTTTCCTCCAGTTATATACCTGTTATTAAACAAAACTGTCCGTAAAGATACAAAAGCTTTTTTGAAAAATATTTGTTCTGTTTAACAAAACCAGCGTCTATGCTCACTAGATGCCAAAGCCGCATTTAAGCACGAAGATCAGCATTTTTTATATGTAAAATTATATTTTTTACTCCAATATTGTTTTGTATTAAAATGTTTTTTTTGATATTCAAATTGCACTAAACATTTTCTATTTTGCTACAGCAGAATTAACTTCAAAAGAAAAATTCACGCGTGACTTAATCCACTTATACTTACATAACTATCCCAAATTTTGTTAAATAAATCGCTTGACATTGATTAAGACTTCATTTAGAATTTAGCTACATTTAAAATTTAAAAAATTTATTTTTTTTATAAAATATTCTAAAATGCCGGATGGGAGTTGGGAATTTACACCTTGCCTTATTCCTTCATACTATTAAAGTTTGTTAAAGATTTTGTAATTTTAAATTTAATCGAAAGTTAAACGTAAAACGACCATTTTATTTTAGGGAGACAAAATAAATGGCCTTTTTAAATTAAAAACGAGTTTTGCATGTTGCACTTTATACTTGAAAATAATTTTAAATTAAACAGAAATAGAAGGAGATATAATAATTAAAAAACATGTTTTAAAATATTTCTAGTTAATCTTGATGAATAATTTCAAAAGATTTAAAGTATATAAAGCGAAAGAAATGATGAAAATATGTTTGGGTAATGCCAAATTTAGAGAAAAAACGAGAATTAATTTTGGTGCCATTATACCTTATATTCTTGGTTAATTACCAGTCTATTATCAAGTTTAGCTTTGGTTTAGTATATCAGAATTTTATAATGAAAATATCGGTATAAATTTGCACCAATAAGAAAAAAGACAACAAAAGATAAAAAAGCAAAATAAATGTACATGATGTTAATGGTTTTGAGGTTCTAGGTATTTAAATTAGTTAAAAACTAGTGTATTTACATAAATTGGATGATAAACATTAGATAAAATTTTCGATTTATAAACACCCAATACCACAAAATTTTTTAAAATTAAAACACACAAAACCATTATATCGTAAATACTCCAATAAATAGATATCCAATAATTAAAATTTCGATATTTTTGAACTTTTTTAATGTCAAAGTATACTGTAAAGTAGAGTAGGACGAGACCGTTTAGAAACCTCGATTATTGTTCCCTGTGGCGGGTCAAAAAGAGATGAGAGAAGGAAAAATAAACCTCGAATTAAACGGTCTCGTCCTACCCTACTGTAAAGGCAATAACCCTAGTCAACCTTATAATATTAGAGTATTTACGAAAAGTGCAACAAACATTTTCTTTTTAGATTTGACTATGAACTATTCAGGGGAATTGAAGTGCTTCAACGTGATCAAAGGAAATAACCATATCTCGATCTGTTTAAAATCGAAAGCCTGTATGTAAATATATCAGATGAAGCACAAAATTTTACATAATATAGTAGAAGATAATTTTTTGAAAAATTCTTAATTTAAATTTTAAAATACTTCCAAAAATACTTTTAAAATAAATAAAACCAATCATATATAGTGTGTGTATTTTTATTTAAATAAATCACTGAAGCGACCCTGCCCGTGAACTGACCACTGTCTCTCAAATTTTTCATTACATCTATTACTTGTCAGTTATTTATGCCTTTCTTCTACTCGAACTAAATGGTCAGACAATGGTCAGTCAAGGCTTGTTTATAACCAAAGTCGTTTTTCAATAAAAATCCGCACACTAATCATAAATAATAAACTTTTAAATAAAGGGTGACGATTATACCAAAAAATGTAAAACTTTAATTCTTAGATACTATCATTAAGGCTAGTGAAATAATAAATTTGTTTGGGATTATTATCCATTATTCAAAAATAATTTGAATTCAAAATTTGAAAATTTTGAAGTAGGAAATCACGATTTATGGACGGAAACTGGGTAAAATGTCAAAAATAAGGAACATTGTCGAAATAATTAAAAATATTAAATATGAGCTAACTATGGAAACATGGACGAAATATCAAAATAAAAAATTGAAAACCAACCTAAATGTTTCAATCCTATCTAAAAAATAGTTTTGTATGTTTGATTGCTTTCCTACTTCGAAAAAATGATTAATTAAATAACTATTTACTAGCCTTAATTAATTTATAATAATAGTTGAAAGTTTTACTAAATTAAAAAATAGACTGAATCTGAAACGTTAATCACCAAAGTTCTCCCACGTAAAGAGGCTAGGTTAATTACTTATATAAGACATGTAGTGAACATGCAAGTATTTTGGGAGTGTTCGATTAGAAGCATGTTAGTGAGGAAATTTCAACGCTTTTCTAGAGTGTAAACATCTAAATTATGATTTTGTCGCGCGTGATACCTAGTTATAAAGTAAAAGATCCTCATTGGATTTATTTTGCCTTTCGCCGAATTTTAGACTTTTTTGTTTCGTCTTTCGCCTTTAAAATCAGTTTCAGTTTAACCCTGCTATATAATATAGAAAAAATAAAGAAAAAAATCTAGATTTATCTAGATTAGTTTGAAACTGACTCGCTCACTGCTGCATTTTCTTCAAACTTCAAAATCACTTTCAATCCTGTTCAATCATCTAGTTCAATCTCTCCATTTTGTTTAATTTCACCATTCTCTGGACAAATTATAACATTCATATTATCGTGGTCAGCAAATCCCCAAGAAGTTTTTTCATTAGCAAAACGATTACAGATTCCTTTCAAAAACAGATAAATGGCAAATGCACTAGGACGATGGATTGGATTTTTTGGAAAAATACATGCCTGAAATAAAAATAAAAAGTCTAAAGACTTAAATTATTTACCGAATACCGTATATGCTTAATAATTACCCTAGCTAAGTATTATTTCGACTTGTCTGGAGGGAGTAATTAATAGAGCGGGGGTAATTATTTGAGAGATGGTAATTATTGTTTCGATCTGTGTATGCTTTTATTTTTCATAAACATGTTAGAAGGAATATACGCAATATATTACGGATCCGTCCAGGGATATATAGACACAACGTATATTAATCCCTTTATATATTTTCTTATTTATTCTTAAAAATTCATTATTCAACTTTATAAAACTTCTTAACAAAAATATTTAAAAT